CCGATGTACCAATTATTCCACTGTAGCCTGCTGTGGCAGCATTTCTGCCTCCTTCACTCACTCACATACAATCTGTTACATGCTGCTGATGGAAGATTGGGCAAATATAGGAATCTCTGCATGTAGTTTCTACAGTCTCATACCTCAAGTATTAGAAAACGGGCATTTTTTAAAAACTTTCAACACAACCATGCATCAACCAGCCATCCATTGCATTGTTGTGCTGGAAGGAAATAAAAGTGTGATCAGAAACAGTGCCGGATATTTGATGCATGCACATGCTGAAATTAAATGAGTCTCATCATTTCACCAGAGGCTGGTAAGACTTAAAAAGATCCGATATGGAGACGGCTGTAGATTACCTTTATTCTACTGTGGTGTAACGGAGAGGTCAGTTATATTATACTGTTCTTCCTCAGCAGAGGGGGAACTGACTTTATCAGAAGCCAACCATCATCATGCAGTACTGCCTTTGTTATTTGTGCTATAACAGTATAGCTATAATGTGATATCCTAATGGCTATCGTGTGATATAGGAACTATCCCAATGCACTGTACTGTAAAAAATGTATTGTGGCAACAAGGATTAAGCATATGTCTTTCCAATGTTATTCTCCTACTATGCTCCCCTTGTCTTTTTTCTGTCATAGAAATGCTCACGATAGAAATCTCTCTCTAAAAGTGAATCATGAACTCACTTCATTATGTGTAGTAAGTGTATGTCAAGTGCATGTAGGAGTTCTCTGTCAGCAGTTACAATAAACAGTACCAGACAATCAAGGTCTGCGAGAATGGGATTTAATCTGCCAGACCTGTGTCCCTCCTTTTGGCGTCACTCCTTCAGGGGGCTTACTGGAACCAAATCCACCATGGTTTGTACTACAGTATAAGCTGAAAATGACTGAATAATATTCAGTGTTTCAACAAAGAATTATCTGAATTGCGACTATAAACTGCTGATAATAAACAGGAGATAATGATGGTTTTTAACTATTTGCAGCTACTTGGCTCCTGGTCAAATCTACACACATAATGCATAATGCATGTATTTTCAGTCATATTTTGTTTCCTCCTCCATGTGTTCTCGTTTTGTTGTCCTAGCTGGGGATTGTTCCAGTAGGTCAGTGGGAAATGTAGGTTGGTGGCCTTGATTTACATGTAAGCAATATTTTTATTTTGTCCTGGTTATGCACGGCAGGCAGGCCAACTGGAGCTTGGACATACTTGGCAAGGTAACACTGGGGTCCTGATTTAATAAGGTGGACATTTTAGAAGCTCCAGAGGGATTTGCAATTCACGTTTTAATTACAATTAACTTTGTTCTCTATTCCTTCAGCATTCAACTTCCATCATTTGCCTGCAGTTATAAAAATAAATCCCAGTGCTGTCAAAGCATGTTGAACCGACCAGAGCCATGAGAGTCCCACAGTTATTCAGAATGCTTCTTGACACCTGTCATCATAATCACACGTGTATTCATGTGTGTTTCATGTGTGTGTGACTGACAGAAGCTGGGGTTTGGAGCATGATGGTGTCTGTGTGTGTGCTGTCCTAGTTTAGGGGCTCAGTTTACCGTATAAAGTGCGTCAAAAAGTGGATGTCAAATGAGTTCTGGGATGCGATGCTGACATTATACTAATGTTATAAGTTTAGCAGCTCATATAAATTCCCGTAGAGTGTAAAATGTTTGGCTATGTAAAAACGCACTCGGTTATACAACAAATGCAAATCCAGGATGTTTCCCTCCATGCGCATATGCCCACACACAAACTCACACAAACACACAAAATAAGCAAAACAGCAAAAGATACAGAGGTCGTTTGAACAGTTACTGTTGTGAATGAGGCTGAACAGAAGTTCATCAACAATCAGAGGAAACAAGAAGAAAGAAGTGAAACTCCCGTTTTCAGCTTTTGTTTATACCTGTCTCCACACAATGTTCTCTGATCTGCCATTCAGCACAGATAGCTGATAACTGAGGTTTAGGGTCTAGGAGAATGCCTCTGGAGCTGACATGAAAAGAGCAAGGAATAATGGTTGTTGTGAAAAATGGAAAAGTCATATCCTCTGCCTTTCTCCCTCTTTTCTATTTCTGTTTTCTTTTGACAGCATTAAACAGCTTCCGAGCCATAAAAATATGGCACCTGTGAAATCCAATATAGTCAAGAAGCCAGGGATTCATTTAGATAGATGATATGGTTAGGCATAGATTAACATTTTAGATTTCATGTCACACAGTGGTTATGTTTCATAGTTTCCACTGTGATGAACACTGTTACATTAATTAACATTAACTGACCATTTGTTTGCCAGTATAGCTGGTAGAAACTGCCCTATCGATCGTCATTGAGAATTACAATAAAAGAAATCCTACACAAGCACAACAGGAGGATGACGAATCGTGCAGATTTACCAAGGATCAGCATCAAATGTTCTTTTGATTCTGAACACTTTGGTGCTTGCGATGTTAAACAGATTTGTGTTTGTTCTCATACAGGAAAAAACGATCTACAAGGCAGTCTGTTTGGCTTAGTTTATAAAAAGATCAAATATATCATATAAAAGGCCTGGGTTCAAAATGCACAGCAGAAGAGGCAATAATGTCATCATAAAATATTTATAGATACCAGGGTTCCTGAAAAATGAATGATTATGAAGTTGCGTGGACTGATTTGTTGAGCCTGTCTTTGCAAACCAAACACACCAAAAGTTTCGGTTTAGGGGAAGTTGATGTGAAATTCTACCCATATCCATGTCCATTATTTATATTTGGGTGACATTTTAGATTGCAGCACATAAGTTATGATGGAGTTTTGTTGTACATTTCCAACATACCAATAAAATACTACCCACTGGGGTAAGGGAATACGTTAACAATTCTACATTTAAGATGGATATAGAAATAAATGAGTGTTTCTTTTCAGTGCCAATAGCTATATGTGTATGTTTCAAGATGCATTAACTAAAAATACTACTACAGTGCTAAAAGTTCTCACTTCAAAAGATTAGGTAAAAAGTTTTTCAAATACAAGGTTGCCGTACAGCACATAAAGCTAAACAGAAAGATTAAGTATAGATTGAAATTACGAAAGAAGCGTTTTTTCCCTATGAAAGTTTATTCTTAGAGAACTTGGTGGTGCCAGGAGAAGTGACTAATATGTGTTATGGGCCACATCACGCCAAAACTATCCAAGAAAAGAAAAAAACACTAAAAAACTGACACATATGATGTGCGAGCTATAAATGGTGCCATCTTTGAACTCAGCATTCAGTTGTAATAATAGGCCATATCCATTGCTATGCCACTTTCATCTTCACGCATTGAGGACGTCGGACCTCAGAACAATGTATGTTGTCAAAGACTGTGGGGATTTTGGTAATTTGGTTACTAGTTTTAAAGGCATCCTGCATAAGCAAAAGTGCTAGACCATTTTTGGATATTGACCAGTTGGTTGACGAGCTACAGTGCTAATATAGCTTCTGACCAAAGACGGGGTCCTTGTGCATTAAACCTCTGAAATTAATTCTAAGCCAAAGAACCAATAAAGAGTCGTCTTCTAATTTTAATTTAGTGTTGAGCCAGCAGGATATGAAAATGGGTATTCAACACCTGCAAAGCTACTTACATTTTAAAAGCTTTTGCTGTCTCCTCTGCTGTAAAAGCATACATGATTCATTTCCAGCTCCTCTTTCTATGAAACACAATATGTTGCCTCTGACATTGACTTGAATACCAAAGGTCTTAGTCTGTTCTCAGAGCCTCTTCACTGTGAGGTGTGATCTGGTTTGCTATTTATTCCCCAATAGTTACAATTATGGTCATGGGTTCAATGGTAAATGTCACTACCACACTCCCTTACTGTAAAACTAGGGATTGTGGTAAACCAATTGATGGCTGCCTTTGAGACACTTGATGACCATTTTGGTGTTAAGAAAAAGCGTCCAGGGTTCTGATTTTATAGCCACAAGAAGGTAAGAGTGTGCACGTGTTGGCAAGTGTGCGTACATGCATGTGGAAGTGTGATGTCTTGAGACCGCTGCATGATGCACGCTCTTAAAAATATTTTTGGTTGCTAACCTGCAGAGCATCTCTTATATAATGACAAAGCGCTCCAGTACATTCGCAAAAAAACAAACATAAAAAGACTTAAGAATTAATACACAGGCATGCTGTTGCACAGTCACTCTCTCTCTTTCCCCCTCACACGCACGCACACACACACACACACACACACACACAGTACAATTCTTATATTATCCAGTCCCTCGACTGAAGTGCTCCAATTTTAACAGTGGTTGAAATTTATTTTCCGTGCTTTTGATCATGACAAACATCTTCTCCTGAAACCTACAATACCTTAATGATTCCATTACAGTATTTACTGTGGTGGTTGGCAACTGTTCGCCCACATGCTCATCTGTATTGTCTCACCCACTCACAAATGGCTTAGGTGCTGGTGGGAAGGTACAGAGCCTACATTTTTGAGTAGATCACGCAATAATGCTGCTTACACACAGGCACAAAGCACCACGGACTCTGACAAACACACACATTCTGCAACACCATCAGGGTCAGCAGTGACAAACATTTGCACATGGGATTTTTACAGGAATCAACTCCGGTCACAACTTCCAATGCATATTAAAAATGAACTGGTAGAATGAATATTTTAAGCCTCAATGCACCACATCACCCAGATCACTGACGTATAAAGTCTGTTATGTCACTGTCATTTCAAAATGAATGACAATAAGAAAATAGTGCAAATCCAAGTCAGAGGATAATGGTCTACAAGTGTCCCCCTCCACCCTGTAGGTAACAATTAACTGCGCTTTTCCCAATTATCGACCAGGGGTCTTGAATGAGGCGCTCCATGGATGGCATCTATACCACTACCTTCTACATGTAGGGACCCACACGCCCATTTAAACGCGTATGATGAAGACACGGGCCTGTGTCTGTAAGGAGAGATGTGTTTGATCGCTCTTGTCTGTCTCACCTGCTCGTTCGTTGCCAGCTCTTTCTCCAGCTGTCGGTGTTTGTTGTGCCACACCAAATAGTGGATAGGATAACGACTCTTCTCCGGAGTTTTCTTAGCAGAAATCATCCTCGGATCATAGTTTGGATCCTCCTCTTTCTTCAGTGTGGATTGCGGGGGATACTTTGCTTTTAATTGAGGCTATATAGTCAAGCCTATCATCCTTTATCGGCGGTGATGCCCAAAGGCGTACAGGGGCAGCCTTACGCGTCTCAAACAGTGAATGATTCCCTGCTCGCCTGCTTAGAATAAACACCAAGAGCCCGTGGAAATCATCTGGAGCAATAAAAGCCCTCGTTTTGATTGTCTCAGCAGATTAGGCTACACCTTTATATGTGAACCACCCGCTCCTATACCTCTCGCCTCCCTCTCTCTTTCTCTCCTGCTTACTCTAACACATCTATCCTCCTCCTCTCCTCCCATCCGGTGGTGACTGGGAGAGATGCGTTGACAAGCTGCAATGAAATGTGCGCACATTCAGCCAATCCGCTGTCAGGGATGTTGAGATAAAACATATGTTTCGTGGAAAAAAGAAAAAAAAAGAACCGCAGAAATCGTACACAAATGTTTAAATGAAACTACATAGCACAGCCCCCTACAGGAATATTATAGTAGTGATATATTGTGGAGGTAAAAAAAAAAAAAGTAGCATACGCTTACTGCAAAAGACCATGAAACAATTAATTCATTAAAATGTATCAAGGTAAAGTTTCAATCAGAGCTTAACATGTACTCCTTTAGTGTCTTTTTGCCCCATATTATGCTTCCTTTGTTGCTTAACACGTATTTGGTGTTACATACTATCTAAAGTTTGTCTCATTTAATTCAAATATATAGCCTATACTTTCTTTGGCTGTGTTAATAATAATAATAATAATAATAATAGTAATAATAATAATAATATCTACAGATATTTCTGTTTTCTCTTTTATCTAATACCAACCAAAGCTAAAAATGAACAATAAAGGTTTTGTTGAAGGAATATCCTATTCAGTATCATGATACTCTCATCCTTTGCTTTTCTTTCTATTTAAGGACAAGGGCTGTTGCTTTAAATATCCAGTAGATAATACTGAATAAATCCTTACATTGATGTTTAAATGAGGTAACAAATCAGGTCTGTGTGAGGATCTCTTACATTTTGAATCCTGTGAAATATCTTGCAACATTTCTTTTTTTTTTTTTTTTTAAATGTCTTTTAAAGAAATATTAGTGAGTTGACATTTCTATCCTCTTACTCTATTTAGATCTGTGTCTGAAATCCACCTCACCTTTAAAGAATGACAGGAGTCTTTTTGCCCCGTCACCCCTCCCTGCCCCTCCGTAGGTAGGCTGCGGGGATGTAGGGTGTGTGTGTGTGTGTGCGGAAACTGACAGGTAGAGAGCTGCCGTCTCTCGGTGAGTTGCAGGCAATGCAGCGAACAGATTTAGTAAATAATTCCCATATGAGGCTCATACAAACAGCCAGATTAGCCATGTTCACATAACTTGGCTCTAGACTTGAGTTGAGTGGTGAACGTGGGCGAAGAGACCGCAGGAACAAACGGGAAATTCAACTGTCAGCTGGCCGGGAAAGCCGATCACACCACCCGGCTTCCGGGGATTCAGGGGCCGCATCGGTTGACGGCAGACGTCGGTCGGTAACTCGGGGGAAAAAGGGCGAACCACATCATCGCCGACATCCACCTCTCGATTTCAGCGACTTTCGAGATGTCGAGAAAGCTACAAAGGACAGAAGTCTGCGCCGACTGCAGTGCGCCAGGTAGGAAGGATGAAAATAAATCAAAAACAGACCACTATACTGGAACAATACGTCGGGAGGGCGACGTGGTGGGACAACAGGGCCGACGCTGCTGTCACTGTCAGCGGGTCCGCAGAGCAGGAAAACGGCCAGGACTCCCAAGCGTCGCTTAGGCCCAAAATAAACAGTGAAAAATAGGCGTGTTATCACAACGGGAAATATCTACGGCTAATAGCAGCTTAGGGTTAATGTGCCTCATTGAGCAGCCTGATACGTGTATTAATTTGACCAAGAGCGTAGACCAGGGCCACCGGTGTGTTTGCTGCAGTGGGAGAGCACAGTGTCAGATTTATGATTCATACTTCACAAGGCGTTTGTTTTGATTTTCCACGACTGGGGCTGACTTCTCTTCAACACGTTAGCTTAGCCTGGCTGACGAGCAGACGCTTTTCACTCACTGCGTTGGTGGCTATTACTAAACATTTAGCCCACCCCTCATACGTTAACACACAACACTGAAATTATATGTAAAACCCGTTTTATCGGACCGAGCCAGCGGCGTCTTGAGATTGTGTGCCAAGCTAACGCTGCTAGCTTAGCGTCAACGTTAGCTAGTGGAGCTAACTTTTGCTAAACGTCAAGTTGACGCTAAACCGACTCAGCTAACGCGTCAGCTGCCAGCCAGTTGTCTGAACGCTATCTAACACTCATTTTTTGATCATTCATGTACTGCTGGAAACCTCTGACACTGCTTGACTAACGTTACATGTGTTAAGGTGTCAACATATTCAGCTAGCCCACTTCACTGTGTCTTTAGTCTCCACATTTTACATGAAATAGCCCAAAACCGGGAGGGAGTACATTCATTTAAAAGCCACCCGTGAGTGGGACATTTAAATCCACCGCACAGTTGAAACGAACAGTGCGTTCACACAGCACCTGTGAGATAAGGGTAACACTTCTCCACACTGCTGTGAATGAGCCTGGTATGGTCACTGCACAGAGCACTCCTCTCTGTCGGTCACTTTCCCCATGTGTGTGTTTGTCGCAAAGTGAGGTAGAGGTGATGCCAAAACAACCTTGGTTATCCCCTCGCTTCTCGCTTGCCGCTGCCTTGCACATGTAGCCTTACATGACCTCTGTTTAGTTTGAAGCACTTGGTTATTGGTGCTCCTGTGTGTGTGTGTGTTGCTTGCATTCATTCATGTGTACATTAAAACAGCTGCTCTCTTCACAGCTGCTCCCCATAGATGTGTGTGTGTGTGCAAAACTGTCTACAAGCTTTAGGGCTCTACTGCTCAGTGTTTAAAATCTTGCTGCCTAGACCTTGTAACTGCTTTATGACCTGAACCTCCTCCCTGCTTCATTGCCTGTCTCTCTGTCCTCCTGCCACCTCACTCGCTTTCCCCCCACTTCACAATCTGACAGGCAGCTAAACCCACTTAAACACCTTTAATTGAATATAAATGTGTGTTTGTTGTGAGACGATCCACGGGTTTCTTAATGTTTTCATGATGGTGGTAGGCTTGTTTGTGTCTACCTGTATTTCTTTTACCATCAGCCCTTTGCGTGTAGCCCTTCCTTACGACGACGCGCGCACACACACACGCAATGCGTTGTGCAAAGTGCTGACCTAGCCACTGGTGACAGGCCACCTCCCTACGACCCAGCTTTGTGTCATACTAGGGGATAACTTGATGGCATGGCTACAAAGGGCGACTGATACTCCCAGTCCCAGCCGAGCCTCAGGAGGCTTTAATGTCACGCCGTGGCAATCTGCACGGTCCACAGCAACAATGAATCATGTTGTCAAGATGGTGAACTCTTTATTGAGCACAGATCCACTTGTATAAGAAACTGGGACTCTTGTGCAATCATTTAGAGCAGTTTGACAGTGGAAAGGTGAAAAGAAGAAAGGTGAAGATGTCGTGAGCAAAGTTGCATGATGGTGGAGCCTTTAATATTTCATAACTATACCACTATTGTTAACACAACAAAAGAGTTCTGACTCTTAAATGTTGATTATTTTTTTTAATAGTAGAGTTCACAAACATACTTTGGCTTTGAGAGAACACAAAGCCTATTCAATATTTTGCTATTTAGAGCTGTAACTGCGAGACTCCTCCGCTGTGAAATTTGAATTAAGCTGTGATAGGTTTTAGTGTAGGAACTGAGCAGTTACTAGTCCAATTATGTAAATACAAACATCATTTACAGTGTTTATGTCAGCAGGAGTTTTCCAGCTTTAAATGTTATCATTCACCATTATTACCAATTATAATGCATGCTTTTTTTATATGCAGACTTAAGTGACAGTTCTAAAAACAAACGCCAACGTTGTATTGATGAATTAGGCCAACTTTCGGCTAAATTATGTCATGCCGCAGATTTGGCCAATATGTTGCTGCCAATAGTCTATCCAGGTCTAATAGCTTAATGGTGGAGCCTCATATTGATCCAGCGAGCCAAGCAGATAGCATAGCCTGTGGGAGTTTTTATATTTATTACACAGATTAAGGAATTAAATTGCTGCAGTACGGCCTTTAAAGCCTACGCACTACTGTTCTAAACTGGGCTGTAGCTCTCATCAAAGCCATTTTGCATTTGCTGCTCCTTTTTTTTTTTTTTTCGGCCGGCAAAAAGACTTACGGCACGTCAGTTCATCTGATGATGGACTATTTTAGCTCCATTAATACCCTAAGCCCAGACGGTTTTATCCCAGCCTGAGAGTGACCAAAGCACATAATAGATGTGTGTATGTGTGTATGTGTAAGTGCGTGCATCATGTCATGTGTATGCGTGTGTGCATGTGTTTGTTTTGATGTTGCAGATTGTATTAGTTGCGAGCTGCTCATCACATCCGTCTCCTGAGAGCGTAAACATGACCCCCGACCCTGACCCTACGACTGGCCTGTGTCAGGGGACTGCCGTCGACCCTAGCTGCTCCCCCTCCCCTCAGCACCTCATTCACAGTCATCGATTTTCTGTCTAGAAAATAACTAATAAAAAGGTAGAAAAGCGATGTTTCCTTATGTAATTGTATACATCATTTCACCAAGTGGACTAAAAACCCAAACCTGACATTTTAAACAGCTTTACATCGAGCTGCTTATCACTGAAATGTCACAGTTCACATGCTCTGTATATGTGTGTGTAAGAGCATACACATTTTAGTGATGTTCCCTTTGTCAGAATAGGAAATGTCTTAATTCTTAAAATATTGGACTTTTCTCTTTTTCACAAACAGTATTACTTTGATATGAAGTATAATAAATGTTGTGGACTCTTGTTACTTGTCTCTGACTTGACTTTGACCTTCAGACCTACACTGGGTTTAACTAATTGTTGGTAATAATGGTTTGGTACGCACCTTGATCAAAGCTGGGCTCTGTGCATGCATCAGTGCGTTAGTGTGTCACAGTTCATGGAGTGTACTACGGTACCCAGTAACCCCGTGTATGGAATATACATGGTGTGTATGATTCGTCTTTATCTGGGTATTTGATACTTCCACGTTGCAGCTTCCAACTCTAGCTAAGACAGCTCATAAAGGCTGGGTGATAATTCAGTGTTATGTTGTACATTTTATGAGTATAATCATATTAAGACAAATATCCATATTAAGATATTACTGTTGACCAATGATGTAAGTGAAATTTCACTATTATTAGTGTAGAATTCAATTAGTCCTAATAGACCCGTCCTTACGAAACTCAGCATTTAGTTAACATTTAGTTAACACTGCTGTTGGATTTATTACAAAGATGCATATCCTCTAAAGTGCAGGCCTGCTCCTTAATGTACATTTAACACTGCTATAGTATATGTGCACATTCATTTGTGAAATTAAATGTAAAAGACTTGGATATTTAGAGACAGAGGATCACTGCTTTATGCTGTTGCTCATCTTTATGTTTGTCACTCTGTGTATATATCCACATATTTAATTAAACACTTCATACTGCAGACTAGCAGCTGAGAACAAAGTCATGTGGTAGTAAACTGTAATTTACCCCCCCTCCCCATTATACTACTCCTTGCATATTGAGGGGTATTATTGTAAGATGGAGAACACAGAGCTGGAGGGTTCATGTAGGCCGGACTCTATTGATATTGTGGTGAAGCACTTCTTTACGCTGCTGAAAACCTCGCTCTCACACACACAGCATGTTTATAAGGCTCGCAGTACCATCCATCTATTCCTGTTTGTCTGTCAGACCCGGGGTGGACCAGCATCAACCGAGGGGTCCTGATCTGTGATGAATGCTGTTCAGTCCACCGCAGCTTAGGCCGCCATATCTCCATAGTCAAACACCTGAGGCACAGCGGATGGCCTCCCGCACTACTGCAGGTAAGGCTGAGGAATGAAGAGTGAGGGGAAAGGGAAAAAGAAGCAGGGGTGGTAAAATGAAAGTAAATGCAGTACCTGAGGCCCAGAATACTACCATTGAAGGTCTGGTACAGAAATCTGACTCAGCACTGAGAATGTAAATTCATTCCCACAGGTTTTCCATCTGCATTTATTTAAAAAAGTTAGTATTTTCTTTATTAATATTCTTATTTGTATTCTTCTTAAAAAATTTTGTGCCTATTCCTCTGTGTGTTCATCATGTTAAACTTTTTGGATATCCTAAAAGCAATAAATTCAAAGCACTGAGTCTGGCACTGGGGCTGTAAGGTGAGTTTCCTCACCAGAGCATTCTTGTGATGGTGGTAAATGTCGTGTTGAGCCATCACTGAGTCACTGCTGTGTGCGTGTTTCAGATGGTTCAGACCTTGGCCAGTAACGGGGCCAACTCCATATGGGAACACAGTCTCCTGGACCCTGCTCAGGTACAGAGCGGTCGTAGGAAACCCAACCCCCAGGACAAAGTCCAGTAAGTATACTCCCTACTACAGGCTTAAAATACACAGAGCAAAACTTTCGCACATCTCCCGCCAATCACCTTTGCTAGAGGAAATTATTGTCCCTGTTGCAAATGAATGTTATATAACCATTCTGAAGATAATTGCCTTTTGCAGCAGTGAAGAGCAATTGTACCCAGTTGTTCCTCAAGGCCCTCTAAACCGTTTTCTTGTAGTCATGGCTCATCTTCTAAATGAATTGTGTTCTGTTCTCATAGGGTTTTTGTATAACTAACTACAGGATAGGTTTTGTCAGCACAGCTCTGGTGTTGGGGTTTTAATGTGGCTATGGCTCATGAGATTAGGACCTGGACCTCCCGGAAACACTTATTATACAACATATTTTAGACTGGACTGTAGTATTAGCCAACATTCATTTTGGGATTTTTTAGGCAAAAATAAAGACTGGTTTACTGATTTTAAGCCCAAAAAGTTATTTAATTTGTCTTGAGAGAAAACATTTATGTCTTCATAGTTTGATAAAAGTATTAATTTACCTGAAATTCATAGCAGATAAGCCATATTTAAGATTATCTAACTGAAACAACAACGTTGTGCAATGGATGAATTAGAGTTTAATCCAAGGTTTCCAAAAGTATCGAAGTATTTGATACTTTTTCAATACCACCATGTTTAAAACAATAGGATACTATTATTTCATTGTATCAAAAGTTTCAAGGCTACAAGAAAAAAACAGATAAAGCAGTTGCAGTTGGATTTTCTATCCAAGGCTGCACAGATTAAACAATGGGGAAGAAAATCAACTGGTCCCTAACAGTCGGAAAATTACTATTAACATTATTACAAATGTGTTGGTAGTAGTTCAAGGACTGTTTTCGTTCCAGCAGTGTGTGTAGGTTGCTAATTTAATAAAGATAATTTGTGTGCCTAGGACAAGGACTATCAAGTATAGTTTTTAATACTAGTGTTGTATCAAGTGTAAAATTCTGGTATTGTGACAACCTTAGTTTAAGTGATAATCAAGGGAAAATGTTGACACTTACACTGTATGACACTGACGTAGACTGTAGTGGCATAGGTGGTTTTCTACCCACAGGTGAACAGATTGTCTTTTCTGTTTGAATTCTGTTAACCATTTTACCTTCTCCTCTTCTGCAGTCCCACTAAGTCAGAGTTCATCAGAGCCAAATATCAGATGCTGGCCTTTGTGCACAAGTTGCCCTGCCGAGATGATGATGGCGTCACTACCAAGGACCTCAGTAAGGTGAGGGCTCGGTATTTTGCGGCCGAGAGGAGTTCAGGTTAATTAGGCTAAGCAGACATTGCCATATTGCTAAACTGCATGTGTAAGCATAAAGGATGTTTTATTTATAGATGTCAGTGGGAGGTCTCACGCACATGTGCATGTACACACACACACACATACACACACACACACACACACACACTGACGCACACTTACTAATAAACCCCTGTGGCAGGAAGTGATCTCAATGACACAGCAGGATGTAATAATGATCTCTAGTGCTACTGGGCTAATAAGGGGATTCTGCCTGTTTCTGTCTCTCAGTGATGTTTAATCTTTCCACCCCCGACACTCTCTGTTCCTCTCTCTATTAGCAACTTCACTCTAGTGTGCGGACGGGGAGTTTAGAGACGTGTCTTCGCCTCCTGTCCCTCGGCGCCCAAGCCAACTTCTTCCACCCGGTCAGGAAAAAAAGAATCTACTCGCTGACTCACTCCATCTAGCAATTACCCACGCTGTTCAGTTACTCTCTTTATGCCAGTGCTCATTTCTGACTGTTTGTGTGTCTACCTTACCCTCCAGGAGAAAGGCACTACACCACTTCACGTGGCAGCCAAGGCAGGCCAGATCCTGCAGGCTGAGCTGTTGGTGGTATACGGTGCAGATCCCGGGGCACCTGACATCAACGGACGCACACCTATGGACTATGCAAGGTACAAGACCGTGGAAACGCACTTGATATAATAATAACACAGTCTGCATTCAAATCTAATATCAAATTAAATGCTGTGGGAGAATGGTGAGGGGGAAAATTAAATTGTGTTTTTGTGTCTGTGTTCCAGGCAGGCGGGTCATATAGAGCTAGCAGAGCGGCTGGTAGAGTGTCAGTATGAACTGACAGACAGACTTGCCTTCTACCTCTGTGGACGGCGCCCAGGTAACCCACTGCAGCAGTTTGTGTGCACCTCACATGGCCTAAAGCATAGCAGTAACACACTGTGTTAGCTTTTCCCCACACATTAAGTTTCCTCTCCTGTCCTCAGATCACAAGAATGGCCATTATATCATTCCTCAAATGGCAGACAGGTATGGACGATGACATTTTTGTTTGGTGTTAAAGTGGTAACGAGTGTCCTGTTTTTGCATGCATGGTGTGGTTTGCATGAAGTAACTTTGTTAGTATACTTGAACTTTGCAGCTACCTGACTTGCCATACTTCTATGACTGCTTCTTTTCCCCATGTCTCCCTGGCATAGATTAATTGATACTGATGTAGTTTAGTGGTCTGGCCAGAGGGTGGCACCATAGTATGTGTAACCCCTCCCAAAAAAGGTGTCGGATAAAGGAGGTCTTTGGCATCTCTATCAAAGGTGGCTGTGTTCTAAGCTATACAGGTACCTCCAATGATTTAGATGCGCGACGTGTGCTTGGTTTATTAATCCCAATCTGCAGGTCTGATTTGAGAGCACAGTCAGATTATGATAAATCAACTTCCGTAATACTTGGCTCAGCTTCTTTCAGATATGTGATGGGTTTTCTCAGCTGAGCCAAAGAAGTAACTTAAAAAATATACACCCATAAATGTACATATTAGGCAGTAAAACTAAGTGCACCTCAAAATCTGTGTTACTTAAGTGGCTCTTATGTCTGAGCTGCCACCTTACTCCACTTGCATCTGTTCTGGTGAATGGTTCCTCTTGATAATAACAATTAAAGCTGTTTTGATGTGGCTTCTCTACCCCTCTTTCTGTCTGTTTCTTCCTTTTTCTCACTCGTCTTCTGTTCTCTCCATTTCGCTGCGCTTGGTGGAGCCAGAGCTCGTCCTAAGTGCCCGACACAGAGGTATCTTCACTTTCCTTGTTGCTTTTTTTTCCAGAATCTCTTCCTTCATTTCAACCCCCTCTCTCTGCTACCCCATCTTTTGTAGAGTTCCCTGTTGTATTAAGCGGTGCCACAGTGGGACGATTATTAGGGCTTACCAATAGAAAATAGAGCTGTACAGTTTCTTCTGAGGGAAAGAAAAAATCTAGATGACTATCGACTGTGAAGAAATAGTTTCAGAGTAAGGTTTTGCTGTATTCAGGAGAATCACGTTTTCATATATTCAAATTGTACAATGGAATATACCTTGGCCACAAAAAGATTGCCCCGATGTTAAGTCTTCTACATAAAATAAAATTCCACATAATGCAGTTAAAGTATTTTATGTCAAACACATAGTAAGATTTTAATTTTAACTGATATAATATGTGTTGATATTTTACAGTTTTTTTTTAATCTAGATGTAGCTTGCAAAATACCCTTTCCCTGGGACCGTACACAGAGCTGCGTTCAAGTTTACATGGCTCCAAACAGCAGTCACCATTACATCAAGCCCTTTCGATACCCAACGCATCCCACCCCAAATGGCTTTCCCTCTCCCTGTCCCTTCTCTAGCCTAATACCCTTCCCACATCCTCACCTCTTGCTCCTCTCTCCATATCCATGTCTTCCTCCCTCCCTCCCTCCCTCACTCCCTCTCCCTCCGTCTCTTTATTCTACTCTCTTTGTGGTGGCCATCTGACTGTTGTCCTCTGTGTTTTTTAGCCTGGACCTCTCAGAATTGGCCAAGGCTGCCAAGAAGAAGCTCCAAGCGGTGAGTTGGGTTGCATTGTGGGATTTTAATCACAGTTTATTGTGTATGTTTCAACAGACAGTGGTAAGAGTCGTCAAGGTCAACGTTTTTAGACAAAAGAATGAGCCAGTTTTTCTTCAGTGTCCTTGAAAGTAATGCAGTGCTCGGTTAAAAAAAAAAATGCGAAAAAAGTTAGTTGGCGTAACAAACTGTTTTTTCTGTCACTTGCCAAAATAATGTTTGTTTGCTCGGGGGCCATCTGTTTAGCCCCACAGAATGCCAGTAGTCCAAAAACTGAGACCTGATGGTCAGATATCAACATTTGATGGACTTTACTCACAAATAATTATACGCAGGTTTTTGAAAAATGCTATAGTTGACTGAAAATGAGATAAGATGCAAAGTTAACTCTTAAAAATTGCATCCCAGATAACTGTACAGTATCAGGTTGTTATCCTGTTTTCCTCTGCTCTCTCTCGTTTGTCACACTTTTTTTTTGTTGCACTGATTTGTCATTACGTATGAAAACACCTGTTACTATATCTGGGGTCAATTTGTTTGTGTGTCCTACAGCTCAACAATCGGCTGTTTGAGGAGCTAGCGATGGACGTCTATGACGAGGTAGATCGCAGAGAAAACGATGCAGGTGAGCTTTGTCTCCTCCCGCCTCACTACCTTCTTTTGTCCTCTGTGAGGTCGAAATATCTGTCTGTGTTTTAGCTTTTTCCTCATTGTGGAAACGTGATGTTGGGAAAAAACATAGGTAACACCTCTACAAGACACCATTGAGGTGAAGGAAAAAGAGAGAAAGTGGCAAAGAAATGGATGTTGAGAGGACAGAGAGTGGAGAAAAGGAAAATAAGCGTTAAAGAGGAAGGCCAAAGTGAAGGAGTGAGGGAGGAGGAGAGACAGAGTGAGGAAGTGCCTCCGAAATTCTTGAGTCTCTCTCCTCCTCCTCTGCTCTTTGCCGCTTTGTCTCCTTCTCTTTTTTTCCATTTCTTCTCTCCCTTTCCTTCAGTAGCGGTAGCAGTCAAATTGTGCTTTCTGACAGACGCACCGCAGGTAAGTGGCAAGGATACAGAGAGAGACACACACACACTTATGTACACACCCAGCCACACACCAGAGGAGGGCTCAAAGCACAACGGTGGGGGCCTGAATTCAGTTTTAGGATCTACTGTATGGTTTTTGCTGTGCTTTGTTTATCTCTGTATGCATGTGTGGGTGGATGGACTGGCTGCCCATATTCCATGTCTCACACACACACACACACACACACACAGCACACACACACACCTTATTTTTATCTTTTTTGTGTTCTCCAGTGTGGCTTAGACCCAGAACCACAGCACTCTGGTAACAGAACGCAGCGCAGTGCACCTTCCTACCGGTCAACCCTTGAATACTCTGCCACACGCAACCAGGTAAACAATACACACTAATTCATACACAACCTCCACTGCAGATAATCACAGGTGGCATGCATATTCTTTTACCTG